CAATTTCATTCCAACTGAACTGTGGTTTTGAAGCTTGCTGTTAACCTAGGGATGATGGTTATCGAGTATATGGAAAAATGACTTTCAAAAAGTGACTGAGGGAAGAAGGAAGGCTGGTCGTCTGTTTGGGCCTTTGTACGTATGTTTCGGCCTTGCCTATGGTGGCGCAGGGGGACTCCGGACCCGAATGTCAACACCTGCTCCAGACCTACTGTAAATTAGTTAAGCAGCTCTTGTGGCTCTCATGTATCTCATGGGAACCCATCGATTTCCTGGCCAATATCCTCAGGCATGATAGCAAGCATTAGAGGGGTTAATATCTATATTTGGTTGTCTTCGATATTGCTTCGGGTTATGGATAGCATTGACGATTTATATAGCTGTAGCATAGGTTCGATCATGCAATTGAGAGACCATGCGCAAATTTGTTTGCTGAGGCGACTATGCGCGCAAATACGGGCCAGCCGCACAAGATCGACCGGCCAAGCTCCAGACAGACGGTTCCGGGTGCGCACGAGCGAGCCAGCCATTTTTCATTGTGGCAGACAACATACGCGGAATTGCGGCCGCCACCATCAATGCACTGGTAACTGCCATTCATGCCGCATGGATTTCCTGGGATCAATTGGCTGCCAGAAGCCGGTGGAGGTGGCTCTGAGGATGATGGCGATGGGTCGGCTGAGGTGCTGATGGTCCCACCTGGCCTATCGCCTTGAATAGGAGTAGAGCCAGAGGCTGGTGCTGAGATGCGGTGCCAGAGGTGGTTGATCATTTTTGCCCGAGTTACCACCAAAGGACCGTGCTGCTTTGACAAGCTCTCCATCGTGGTCCATGTTTATTGACCACACCATGACACCCGCAAGTCCACGTTCAGCAGCATAGTCAGATTTGATGCGTATGCTATCTGTGTCGTCGTTATGATAAGTAGATGTTGCTTTGCGGGTTGGAATAGCCACGGCGTTTTGGTAGTATTGTCCCACTGGCGCATCCACTGTGGGTTGGAGGAGGTAGGCGATACCAGGACACCCTGGTCGCGCAGGTGCCTCCATTGCCAGGTTCCTGAATTTGAGGTTGATCCAGCACAGGCATCATACCAGGGACCATCCTCCGAATCACCTAGTGGTACTTCGTGTGATTGGGGCTGGTACTGGTTGTTGGGATCCTGGCGCATATCAACAGTGGCCTTTGTCGACCGTCCGTAAAGCCAAGGCCGGCGTTCAGCTGGTTGGCAGGCCATCCAGCGTTGGTCCAAGAATCGATGGCGGTGGTGAAGGAGAATGGCGCCGACTTTCCCTGCTGGTAATCAAATGGAGCATTGGGTCCCGTTTCAGGATTCCATGGCCCATTGAGGTCGTACTGCATCAAGTTCGCATAGTCGACGACCTTGGCAAACTCGGAGACATCGGCGAGCGGGCCGTTGGGGCCATCAAATGGCTGTACCCGCACCGCCAGTGTGATCAGCTTTGTGCGCGAGCCAAAGTCGTTGTTGAAGCGCGTACGAAGAGCTTGAAGGAACCTGAGGAAGTTTGGCCGCGTCATTAGTAGCGGTCGTATGCGTTGCACTCGTTGCCAATCCGTCCCGGGTACTCCCAGTCAATGTCGATGCCGTCAAGGTTGTAGTTCTTTACGTAGTAAGCCATGCTGCCAACCAGCCTGTTGAACTTGTCGTCGCGGATTTCAGGATGTTAGAAAAGTGGTTCGACCCGGTCCATCCACCTACGGATACCAGCACTTTTACGTTCTTTCCGTGGAGCTCCTTGACAGTGCTGTCCATGAACCAGTCGCCCTCAAAGGTGAGCGAGCCGTCTTCCTTGGGGATAGCAAATGCCACATTGACGTGTGTGTATTTGCTGATGTCAACAGCAGCAATAGCTTGGCGCTTCCATGTTGGATAGTACCCGACCACCACTGGGGGTTTGGCAAATGTGCCAGCAGTGTGCAAAAGGAGCAAACAGATACACAGCCAGCGAGAAGTTAAACATGCCCATGACGAGTAAAAGGCGATAATACCGTTGTGTAATAGGTTTCTGTCAAATGCAGACGAGTGGGGGTTTGCTTTGCCTTGGGCGAACGGGGTACTTGCTATTTATGTATCTGGGACTGCAAAATAGATGGCAGCAGATGCGTGGCGCGGTGGGCCATCCCGAAAGCAATTTATCCACATACCACTACTGCAACATAATGTCAGGCATATATAGGCTGACGCGGGTGGATTATGCGCGCCCAACCTCTCCTACTTTCCTTCGTCGGCCTATCCACGCTGCCCATGTGCAGATTTACAGCAGGCCATAAAGGAGCGACCGCCAGGCATACTGGGATGTGCTGGTGGGAATTGCTAGCTGGATTTTTTATTGCAGGAATAGGGCTCGGCGACAGGTTTCTGAAAAAGGCAATGAACATGGCGCACAGGCCATGCTTCTGGCAGATACCCGTTTCACCTCTCCTCACAACACGTATATTTGTTTTTTTTTTTGTACTCTACTATCTAATTGTATTCCTAGCCATGCAACTCCACAACAGCCTCCCGCCAGAGGTCCTTGCACTGATTATCGAGTCCCTCTTTTACGAGACTGTCGACTACATGTCTGCTCCCCCAGCTGTCGCGGTTTTTGCAGCAGGCTTCACTGAATCGGCACACGCGACAGGCTGGGTTGTCCATGTGCTGCCAGCATGGGTTTGTCGAGGTTAGGGTGGCCACGCACGGGCTGCCATGGCTCGGTGCAGCGACCAATGTGAATTCTGGCATGATTGAGCAGCGCGCAGGCTGGAGGTCGAACATCCGGTACATTAGTGCAATGAACAGGCGTCATGCCACCCACACTCTGTTCTTGGAGATGCGCAAGTGCAGGATGTGCGACAGATCGCACAGGCGCTGGCAGAAGCAGGGCTGTTTGAAGCCGAGTGGCCTGCGGTGCGTACGCTGGTGGTCGGCGATCCTGGGCACTCCAACACCAGCTGGCACGGCAGCATGGAGAAGGTCATAAGTGAGCTAGGGTCAGACCTCTTGCGCGTGGTGCCGAATGCCCGGTACCTGCGCATCAGCGACAGCGGCACCATGTACGATGAGCTGGTGCTTGGTGCGCTCCTGAAAGAAAACAGACGGACCAGTGGGCTGACACTGTGCATGCGAGACATTACATCCAGTGGTATGTCGCACTTTCCGGCGACGCTGACAAATCTATATATCAACTCTGGGTCGATCATTAGCCTGGTGGATCTGCCACGTATATGTGCTGAGACGCTGATTGCGCTGACACTGAAGCCGATTCAGTCGGGGAACTTGTGGGGCAGATTCACCAGCGAGCCGCGCAGGCTGGTCGAGTTCAAGGAGTTGCGGATGCTGAGCCTTGGGTTTGCAGCAAGCACCACGGCGTCGCCGGTCGGGTATGGAAACAGCGCACTCCCGGTTTTTCCCAGGCTGGCAAGCCTGAAAGTGTCTGGGTACGAGTATGATGTCAATGACCTGCTGTCGCAGTTCCCGCGGGCACAGATCGAATCGTTGGAGCTGCGTGGCACACCAACCAAGCACATGATTGAGACAGATCCCTTTAGATCCCTGAAGAACGTGGTTGTTTTTGGCGGGATCCAGGAAACACAGGATGCGTTCTTCTGCCGGTGCTTCAGAGACCTAACGACGGTGCAGCGGCTGACAGTGGACTGCCTGCCTACGTTTGACACGTTTGTGCAGTTCCCCGGGTTCGTCCAGCTGCGCAGCCTAGAGCTGACACGCTACCAGCTGTCATCATTCCTGACAGAGTGCGATTCGCCGCAGGACCTGTTCAAGGATGGGTATCGGGCGATTCTGCCGCACCTGAAGCAACTATCTATCAGTGGCGGAATTCCCAATAGCAATGAAGGCAGGTGCGCGTCGCAGTTGGTTGCCCTGATGACTGGTATGCCACAGCTCGAGTGCGTGCGTTTAGGGGGCGCATTCGTGCTCTGCATTAGCGAAATCTACCGTAACATACGGAGCGTCCTGTCAGATGATGTGCTTGGGTTGAAGGCGCAGCATCTTTGCATGGTCTATATCTTTCTCAGGTACGAATGATGCTGTAATTTATTTCCGAGAAGTGTAGTATAAATGGAGCTGTTGGTTGCGTAGGGTGGATATGACATTACTGGCTTCCAGCTACGTGTTTGTGCGAACTCATGCTTTCGGATGGGGAGTTGAACTCGTACTGTACCTCGACGCAGCATGCGTTGTTTTGGGTAACCCTCAGGCATTCGGCTTCAATTGCCCTGCACTTCTCATTGCTCAAGCATTCGCCCAAAAGGCCCAATACGCGGCGTATATGCTTGTAGCTGGAGCTGGATTGAGAGACTTCCACGTACTTTGCAACAGCGCGAGTGCTCATTTTGCTGTGCTTTGTTTTCTGGAAATACGCGTAGGCTAATTCCTCGTTCAGAAATGACAGGTATCGCACATAGCGGGCGTCCCGTGTAGCGTCTGTGTAGCTGGTACTCGAGCTTTTTTGCTCTAGCTTTCCATCCTCACACGTGTAAAAGATGTGCGTGTATGTGGATGGGAAGTAGAGAGACCAGTCGCAGGCACAGGCAGTAGGCGAGTGATGGACAATCACGTAAATGCCTAGGCGGCTTCTGCTAGTAGACATGGGCGAGGTATCTGCAGCAGCGACGCTGGCGTCCAGGGGCGTGTGTCTGTTCCAGTGGCTATATAGCACGCCATGTGTATCCGAGGTGGCAATCATTACAGAAACAAGAGTATGTTTGTATATACGGATTCTGCGGAGAAAGAATAAGGAAGGGTGAAGAGGGTGCAGCGCCAAGCAGCGTGGCAGCAATTATAAAGCACCCAATGCGTGGTGACTTTGGCCTTTTTCAGGGCAGTCTACGCAGCCAGAAACCACAAAGCTGCCAATAATAAGTGGAAAAAGTACATTAAAAGCATAGGTGGGAGATCTATGGCATGCGGCCCTCCTCCATGCCGCGCGCAGCATCCTGTACAGGGGGCGGGAGTCCGCGCAGAGCAGCACTGAGGTCACTTGCGGTCTCGTCCATGTTGTCAGACTCGCTGCCTGACAGACTGTCGCCGTTCGGGACCTGATCGTAGTCGGTAGTGACCATAGAGCTTGCGTCTGAGACATAGGCTGACAACAGGGTGGACTCGGCAGTGGGCTGGCGCGCCAGATCAAGGCCATGCAGACCAGTGGGATCACACTGGCGCAGGATGCTGGCATCGAACCCCAGAGCCTTGCATTTGCTAGCAAGTTGCGGGTTGATGGGTGGTGGGCTGGTGTAGCCCTCCCCGCCCTCCGAGTCGCTGGTGCCGGGCGACGTGGCTGGGCTTTCGGACGCGGCTCTGTCGCGCTGGTTCAGGGCCGAGACGCGTGGGTGACGCACACGCGCAGCCCACTTGTCACGTGCTCGCTCGCGCCTCTGATGGATTTTGTCGACATTCTTCTCGCCAATAATGTTAGCCTCGACGGCATCGCCGATGCCGGCCATGGCGCTATGCAGGCGCTGTGCAGGAGTGCGATGCTGGTGCTGCTCTTTGCGGCGCTTCAGGTGCGGCACAGGCAGCCAGAGCGATGGCAGGTCGCCGTAAATGCCCGGGTGCAGGTAGGCGAAGCGCGTGGAGTCGAGGATACCCGGCAGTCGCGACATGTTGGGCTGCGAGAAGTCAGTGAACCGGCGGTTCATCAGAGTGCCGTGCGGCAACTCGTCGGCATGGATCTGGAACTGCATGGCCACGGGCTTGCCGGTGGCCGGGTTGATTTCAGGCATGAAGGTGCGCGCGCGGTGGATGCCGACGCCGGGCCGATGCATGCCGCCCTCATGGATGCTGAGGGCGTCGGTGTCGCTGTGTAGCCGCACGATTGTGTCTTTGGGCAGATTGCGCGGGCACAGGTCGTGCTGGTTGTGGTCGGATAGTAGCGAGTCGTTGGCGCTGGAGGTGTCACTAAGGCCTCGCTCGCGGCTGCGCTTCTTGCGCGTAGACCGGTGCTTGTGCTTGACTCGGAACGCGTCATCGTTGGCAGCAGCCTCGGGGTAGTCCACCACGCTGCTGTCCAGGTACGCCTTGGGAATGTCGAACTGCATGAAGAACTCGCCCCCGATCACCCGCAGTCCGTGCGGAATCCGCCGGAACGCCAGCGACAGAATCTCAAACAGCGACCCAGGCTGCGCCTTCGGCCGGTGCGGGTCCATGGGCGACCGCCCGGCTGGGTGCGACATGCGCGAGACGCGCTCCGGGAACGCATAGTCGTCGATAAAGTCCCACAGCGGTGCGGCTGGGTCGCCGCTGATCCAGGTGCTGCTGAACGACACGGTGGCGATCAGGGCCTGGATTGGGTGCAGAACCATGTTCACTGCTGTCGACTGGTACCACTTGCGCGTGCGCTTGGCGTGCGTGCGCTGCGTGATCAGCGTGTCGCCCTCAGCATCGTTGGTCTGCGACGCTGTGTTGCTGTTCGATGGTCCGCGCGGATAACCGCCATCGAGCACATCCGATGGAACCAGCGGTGCCGTCGACTCGCGCTGGTGCGCCTCACGCGCTGTCAAGAACTGCGGCGAGCTTGGGCCGTCCTCCTCGGGCTTCTCAGTGTCAGCGGAAATCGAGGTGAGCCGGCTCGCAATGCTGCCGGGTTGTGTCGGCACGGTGTGGAGCGGAGGCAGACCAGGCGACTCGTCCGAGTTGCTTGACGGCCGGCGGTCCTGGAGGTCCGCCCACCCAACGCCAGTGCCAGCACCCAGTGGGTCCCTGCGGTTGAGCTGCAGGTCGCGCTCAGCCCTGCGTTCGCTCTCCTCGAACTCGCGCTGCTCCTTGGCCAGGGTGACCTTGCGGCGGCGCTCGGCTTCGCGCAGCAGCTGCAGCGGCACCGAGTCGCTGAGCTCGCGGATGTACCGACAGCGCACCAGAAAATAGTAGGCCGTGAACAGCATCAAAACGACCATCGGCGCTACGAACCAGTGGTTGTTGTTGCTGGCAAAGATGGCAGTGGTCAGCGCCTGGTACAGCAGGATTCCAATCACCCAGCGCCGGATGATCACGGGCCAGAATGTCCCCGAGTTCTGCTGCCGGAAGTACCACGAGTACGTGCACATGTACTTCATCACAAACAGCCCGACCGAAAAGTACAGAATGCACATCACCAGCAGCAGCGGCTGCAGGTGCGAGTACAGCAGGCCGATGATGAAAAACAGCATTGGGTACGGAATAATGGTGCCCCAGTCGATGAACACTGGTGAGATCGCCTTCATGTACTCGCGCGGCGTCCTGGCATTGGCCTGGTGCCACAGGTACCGGCACACAGACTTCAAGTGCAGCAGCTTCATGACCTGGTATCCGGCGCCATACAGCATCACATACACGCAGAACCACGTCGACAGCTGCGGCAGCGAGTTGACGAGCCGACTCCAGAACTTGCCAAACTCGGTGAAGATCTCGTATATCGACGACCACACGGTGCCCGACATGCCGACAATAAACACAATGTAGATGACCAGGAAGTAAAAGTGCCGGATCAGCATATTCTTGTCGGCGATGCCGTAGGTGCGGTCGCCGCCTATCAGCACAAAGATCCACAGCAGGCGCGGCAGAACCGTCATGAAGATGGTTAGGATCAGCGACGGCAGCGTGTAGTTGAGCAGCGAGCGCACAAACTTGTTGGTCTCCACCACATGCGCTAGGTCTGGGAACCGCGTGCCCAGGAACTGCAGCGAAATCAGCGTCGAGATCAGAACTACGGGCACGCACCACAGACACAGCAGCGCAAACGACATGATCAGCCCCAGGACGAACCGCAGGAGCTTTTTCGAGTACGGCGCCCCCACGCTCTTCCACACGATCGACCGCGCCTCGGGCGCCATCTTGATCTTGCAGGTGCTGGGCGTGGCATACACATTCAGCTGTGCCAG